CCAAAAGTAATTGTGACAAAACCAAAAATCGACAAATGCAACTTAATTAAACTAAAAATCCCCTGTAAAGCAAAAGAAATAATCGGCAGAGTGAATAGAAAGCCCATTGAATGGGAGAAAATATTTGCAAATTATGGCTCAGACAAAGGCCTAATGTTCAGGATCTACAAGGAACTCAACCAATTCAACATGATAAAAACAAACAACCCCATCAAAAAGTGGGCAAAGGACATGAACAGAAAGTTCTCAAAAGAAGACACACAATCAGCAAACTAACATACAAAAAAAATGTTCAACATCTCTAAGCCAGAGAAATGTAAATTAAAACCACAATGTGCTATCATCTTACATCAGTCAGAATGGCTATCATTAAAAAGTCAAAGAACAGCAGATGTTGGCAGGAAGCAGAGAAAAGAGACAGCTCAATCACTGTTGGTGGGAATGTAAACTAGTTCAACCTCTATGGAAACCAGTCTGGAGATTTCTCAAAGAACTAAAAATAGAATTTCCACTTAACCCAAATATCCCACTACTTGGTGTCTACCCGAGGGAAAAGAAGCTGTTATATTTTAAAAATACCTAGAGCAACCCCCTTTGGTCCCCTCCAACGCTGGGAGCTTGTCTGTTCTCTCAATAAATCCTACTTTAAAAAAAAAAAAAAGATACCTGTACTTGTATATTCATTGCAGCACTAGTCACAAGAGCAAAATCACAGGCCTGATCTAAGTGCCCATCAGAATTGAGTGGATAAAGAAAATGTGGTATACATACACGATGGAATACTATGCAGCCATAAAAAAGAAAAACATGTCTTTTGCAACAATATGGGTGGAGCTAAAGACTGTCATCCTAAGTGAATTAACCCAGAAACAGAAAGCCAAACACCACATGATCTCACTTACTCACAGGAGTGAAATGGTCACAAAATGAAAATAATAGACACTGGGAACACTAGAAGGGAGGGAGGAGAGTTAGGGCTCAGAAGTTACCTGTTGGATACAGTGTTCACTATCTGGGGAACCAGACACCTGAAGTCCAACTCCTACCCATACACAATATGTCTGTGTAACAAATGTGCACTTGTACTCCCTGAATTTACAATAAAATAAAATGATTTGAAGTTAAGAAACTTGATTTACCAATAATGGGCTTATTTGACTAGCATTATGACAGGAAATGCCCAATTAGGGAAATATTAAATTTTTGTAGTGTCATTAAGTGATAATTTTATAATTATTTCCCCATTTGTATTATATATATATATCAGAAATATATATATATTTCCACATTTGTATTATATATATATATATCAGAAAAAGAAAATGGTCACTTAGCCTCTCCTTTTTAATGAAAAGAAAAATACTAAAATTGCAAGCACATTTAAGTATAAGAGAAGTAAGCTTTCCTTTTCAAAACTAGACCCTTGGGAACTGGAATGAAAGAATTTTAACAGCAAACCTCTCTTACATTTCTGGGCATATTATCATGAGTAGAGTATTTCAGTAATAGAGCACCATCATTTTCTGATTTAGCAAAGCACAAGACTTTTTAAAGTATAATATTATTGTAGAAAGTAGATTTGGGGGTTTTATAATGGTTAATTTTATGTGTCAACTGGGCAGGACAAAAGAATGCCCAGAGATCTGGTAGTACATGATTTCTGCTTGTGTCTGTGAGGGTGTTTCTGGAAGAGATCAGCATTTGAATTGGTAAAGATACCCCTTCACCAATGTGGGTGGACACTGTCCAGTCTGTTGAGGGCCACATAGAACAAATGGTTAGAGGACGGTTGAACTCGCTCTCTCTGACTGTGTTGAGACGTCATCTTCTTCTACCTTCGGACACTACATGCCTGGTTCTCCCTTCAAGTTTAAGGAATTTTGCAGCCATCCTTCCTGGTTTTCCAGCTCATGTGATGTGGGACTTCTCAGCCTCCATAGTTGCATGAGCCAATTCTTGTAGCAAATCTCCATAAAGATAAGCATATAGTCTGTATCTCTTACTGGTTCTGTTTCTCCAAGGAATGCTAACACTGATATAGAGCTCTTTCACTTTAAATTAACCTATAGTTTACTGACTAGCCTCTAGTTTAAACCCGATTATAAGTACTTGCCTTAATCTTTGTACAGATGCCATCTACTGACTTACTTATATCCTGACCATAAATCCATTCATGAAACATCCATATTTAAAATACATGTTTCAAATTTTATTCTTCTTTATAATTATTATCATGACCCCTTTCTACCACTACCATCTCCTCCCAGAGAAAAGAGATAAAGGCATCAGGTCACACATATTAAAACAGTCCCAGGGAACATTTTTTAAGGAGCCTTTTCAGCTCCATATTGATCAGCTCCCACTGTAACTCTCAAGACATAGCTCAGACTGTACGATTCCATCTTTGAGTGGGCTGTATTTTTTGTTGTTCATGGATCATTAAAAGCCAAACTGAATCCTGGTAGAGAAATAAATAGTTCATAGGAATTTCCCAGCAGACATGAAAAGGATTTGCATTGCAGAGGAGGAGGTTGAGACCTTGCCTTAATGTTTCTTAGATGCAGCAATGCCTTATCGTGAGGGGGCCACAGAGCTGGGCTTACAGTGTGTTTTACGGGCTCAGGTTCTTGACTTCAGCCTGCAGCTCCTGTGGTTGTTTCTACCTCTTTCCAAAATCTTTATCTTTTATTTCTCACAACCACCCTAGATAAACATCCTTTCTCCATTTTTGCAGGTAAGAAAATTGAAGTTCTAGAAAGGATACCTGACTTTCCTAGGATTTCTAAGCAAGTAATCAAGTGAGGCAAATGAATCCGCAAATCCAGGTCTTTTATGCCAAAGTTCAGGCTCTTTCCACTACATAGTTGTCATGGCCCACGCCACATAACCAGAAAGAGAGTTTGGTTTATTAAAATATTAATTCTTAGAATTTGAAATCTGGGACACCACTAGAAACTCGAACTGTCAAGACTCCATCTGTTAATACTATAGGTAAAACTAGTCTCCCCCACCAGAGCTTAAGGTCCCTGGGGAAGAGCCATGTAACTCAGTCTCCCCACAGCCCTCACAATGGGGTGGGACTGTGTTCCCTGGTGGTGTGTTCCAGAAACAATTCCTAGGAGCAATCCCAGTCCCAGGAGATGCAGGTTCTTCTAATTCTCAAGCCAAAGGTCTACCAGAGGGAGGTGCTGGGGGTAAATCCTGAGAATGCAAGACCACGCTCCCAGCCGTTAGGGAGGAGGTAGACTAGTGTCCAATGAGGTGATCTTACAAGGGACTCACCAGGGAATCGCCAGATGCTGTGAGGTCACAGGGTGGCACCTGCCCCCACACTCTGCCTCCTTCCTAATGTCCCCTAACCCTTCTCCAGGACCCCAGTCTCTACTCTTGTTAGAAACCACAGTCCAGACGACTAGAGCCCATTCTGTTTCCCAGTGCTCCTTGGACAGTAGGTATACTCAAAAAATATTCTTCCAATACGTTTGTCAATATGTCTCCTGATTTGGAGGCGTTTCACCATGGGTCAGAGTAAAAACCAAGAAAAACGTTTAGCTTGAAGTAAGCACAACCCACTTGGAAAGCAGGCACACACTACACTAAAGAGCCAACTCCTTCCACTTAAATTCTGGTCTCAGAATTCAATGCCTCAAAAAGACATTTCAAAAAGAATTATCTTTCATCCTAGAAATGTTAGGTGGAATCTAAAGCCAGAGCTAGGCTAAGCAGTCAAGCTGGCAATGCCGACTTGGAAACTGACTTGCCCTGGGACTTTGGGAAGCCCCAAGCCCTTCAAACCTCCCTCAAGACAAACCTCCATGCTGCGATGCCTCTGGCACGGCTGCATCGCTGACCCCACACTAACCAGCACCAACGCTTTAGAAGGTGGGGGCCTGGAATATGAAGCTAGAGGTAGGGTCAGCGTGAAGGACCCTGTCCCTAGATGGAGAGACTGCCTCGCACCACTGCAGCGTCTTGCTTTTGGGAATAGGCACAGGGAAGGATATTCACAAATGCCATTTTGTTCAAGTGACTGTGACAACCACCCTTCACCGGCCAAACTTTTCATCAGCTCGTTTTGGGCACAGTAACTGTGGCTGGGATGGGGTAGGCATCCTGTGTTCATCTTTATGGTATCGGCGTTCTCCATTCTGTCTCTCGCACATTCAGCTGTAATGTTTAAACCTTTTAAAAACCATTTAATGTCTTTTGTATTTTTGTGGCAATTATCACTAAGTATATGCAAATTTCACTTCCAATTCTACAAATGAGTAGATACAATATTAAAGTTTTTAATACAGTAAGACGCTTCTTTGGGATATAGTCATTGACCATCAACTATTTAAAAAAAAAAACAGTAAAAATTCACCCCCAATGAAGAGGGATGTGAATAATAACTGAACCAACCACATTGTGCATATTGACTTTATTTTGCAGAAAATGCTTCCTGCTGATTGTCTTTGGCTACTTTGTCAAAAGAAACATATAAAACAGTTAACGATACAAGAGATTAGATACATATGCTCAAAGTAAACACATTCTAGTGGGCAGAGCAGTCGAATTTCTACTTCAACTGAAATCTGTCCTCAACTAAGAGTTGATTCTGTCTGTAACAGCTCAACCCTAACTACTTAAAAGCGACAAGGAGGAACATCAAAAGTGTGCTTTCCACTTCACAAAAGCAGGGCCAGTGGAATTTACAAATTCTGGTGTGCTGTAATGAGAAAATTTTTTTAAGTTTCTGGCCCTGAAAAACAATTTTTGAATGTGAATCACGGGGCATTGGGCCAACTGTGTCCTTTCCGTATTTGGAGTCACCTGGGATGACACTGTTCCCATAGATGAAAGCAAGGGACAATGGGACTCTTGATAAATACCAGGGCAAGTGTCCCTCCTCATGTTATAATCTGGCTAGCAAGGCTTTACTTCCTTCCTCAACCCATGATACTGCCATCCTGCACCTGTCAGATCTATTCAATCCACATGGTGGCCATAACACAGAGTCACATGGAAGGTGGTGACACAGGTGTCCATGAGGCCAGGAGACGGCCTTGGGCCGCAGCGTCGTACTGGCTGTCGGGAATGTCTGTGGCCGCAGCAGCCCCTTCATACAGCGGCGATCCGGAGGCAGAGGCTGAGGCCGTGGCTGCGTGGCTGAGGGGGGCGTAGGGTGTGCCTCGGAAGAACGGGGCCGCCAGCCCGTTCGACGCCCCTGCGGCCTGAGAGCCTGGAGTGATGGCGCCATTGCTCACAGACCACAGGCTAGGGTACTGACTGCAAGGAAAGACAGGGAGTCAGTCAGTGGAGGGGCAACCCAGCTAAAATCCTCTGCCTAACCATGGCCTTACATGACACTGTCTTTGAAACAGGGCACTTTATCTGTATTATTAAATGGCTCACAATCACACACCAAGGCTTATTAGGTACTGTCCTATCTATTAACAAGCAATAAAATCATGTATCCGGGGCTCCCGGCAGAGCGCTATTTAGTTCCCCTGCAAGAGCACAGAACAGCAGCTTTGCACTGTTGTTCAGAATACTAAGCTCTCGGCCTTGCTCAATCCAAAGTTCCAGGAAGATGGACCCCAGCCTCTGTGTTTGTAACTAGCACACCTACCCCCTCACTGCCATAATTCCTATGATTAAGGCAAGACCCTCCTAAACACTGAGCAGCGAGAGGCATTCCTTAAAGTAACTCCAGTGCAGACACCATGCCCTGCCTCTTGTTCTATAGATGACCAGGAAGCTCATCCCACTTCTGCCTTTGATTAGCTGTGTCACATTAAACTTGCCCTGAGACCACTTCTGAGGAAGTTTCTCAATGGATGCAATGGTGAGTTGGAAATGAATATCAAATCCCCCAGTCTAACCACATAGAAGTGAACAGTATTCAACAATGGTAAATTTTCAGTTTGAAAACATTCTTAAGAGTCTTTTATATAAATGAGTAACAAGACTCCATATTATATTGCTATACTGTTTGCCAAGCCATGTTCCAAATTTCAAGTATAAGCAAGACCATGTCAATCAAGGCAGATTACAGTCCCATTTCACAGATGACTGTTCTAGGCTCCAAGATGCCCACTGAGAGCCACACTGAACCCTCAGGCATTTGTAACCTGCAGGTCATCTGACTGGACACAGGCTTGAGCAATGCCCTCAGAGCCTTTGAAAAGTTCACGTTTGTGCACTGCTTGCTTTATTTCTGACAGCGGACACTTAGATTCTTACTATAAAGAAACCGCTTCCTAGACAAGAAAAATTAAGATCTTAAGCACAGTTTAATCTTTTAGGCCATCAAATGCACTGCCTTTGAGGTCAAGAACGCCTGATTCTGGCCAGGCGCAGTGGCTCACGTCTGTAATCCCAGCACTTTGGGACACAGAGGCGAGAGGATTGCCTGAGCTTCGGGGTTTGAGACCAGCCTGGGCAACTCTGCGAGACCTGTCTCTACAATAAATTAAAAAATCAGCTGGGCGTGGTGGCGCGTGCCTGTAGTTCCAGCTACTTGGAAGGCTGAGGCAGAAGGATCACCTGAGCCCAGCAGGTCGAAGTTGTGGTGGCCATGAGCATGCCACTGCACTCCAGCCTGGGCAATAGACTAAGACTCCAACTCAAAAGAAAAATTAAAAACTCCTGATTCTGAGAAAGGGAGGCGGGACACGAAGCAACACAAAGGGTACCTGACCCAAAGCCAGGGGACGTGAGGGCCAGTTGGAGGGAGGCTCAAACCTTACCTGCATGTAGCCTACTTGTATAGTGAACACTCACTTGCACCCCACATCTCTATAATAACATTTTAAAAAGAGCACTTCCATTCTCTCTCTACATAGCTTTTTTTTTTTAGTTGGAGTCTCACTCTGTCGCCTAAACTGGAGTGCAGTGGCACGCTCCCGGCCATCGCAGCCTTGACCTGCTGGGCTCCAGCGATCCTTCTGCCTCAGCCTTCCAAGTAGCCAGAACTACAGGTGCGCACTACCACGCCCGGTTAATTTTTGATTTATTGTAAAGATGAGGTCTTGCCAAGTTGCCCAGATGGGTCTTGAACCCTCAGGTTCAGGTAATTCACTCACCTTGGCCTCCTAAAGTGCTGGGATTACAGGCTGAGGCACTGAGCCTGGCCTACATAACTTAATAATTGCTAATAAAAGAGCTATCATTTTTTACCAATTACCTAGCATTTATGTTAAGGACTTTGATCCTCTATTAACAGAAAAGCCAATAAACTTATTTCCTTAATTTAGTAGCTCCTGCTGAAAAAGGTTCTTGAAACATTTCTTCAAACTACACCTACTGACCCAGCAAAACTCTTAAGAGGCCGTCTGAGGCAGGGCCTAGTTACCAACTTCTTTTTAGACATGAGGATATCAAGGGTCTGAGAGGCTGAGAGATGCGTCCATCTCATGAACCAGAAACAGCACAGCCAGGATAGTTGTCCTGGCTTCCTTCGGACACAGGCTGCACACTGTTCCTTGCCTCGCTTCTAAAGGAGCTACAGTCCTGCAGGCAGGAACTCAGCAGTCATATCACCGGGATTTCTGGGCAGAGCTGACCAATAGTGGAATTATAAGCACAAGCACAAGCACAACCACTCACGGCGACAGCAACAGGACAAGAGCCTGTGGGAATGGAAGCAGCCTGAGGTTGCAGGCAGAGACCCCAGACTGGCTTGCTTCAGTGGCCTCTGTGACACACTTTACCTGGAGCTGGCAGCAGGGCTGGTGCTGTGACCCATGGGGACCATGCTGGTGTGGGTGGGCATCCCCAGGCTGGACCAGTTGTCAGGGGGTTGCAGCATAGACAGACAGGCAGACGAATTGTCGGAGTAGGCTGTGAGAGGTGAGAAAGTGTCATGTTGGGAGGGGTCCTCCGAGAACAAAAAGCAGCCAAATACCACCCATAACTAGGACTACCCAACAATGAAATAAAAATATAAGACAATATCAAGCATAATTCATTAGCCTGCTTACTCCATGATGAAGAGTTTGGCAATAAACGTCTATATTTGAAAATATCCCAGTAAGCCCAAGCTTGTTATTAGATCAGTGGATGTGCTGTAAATAATGAATCTTTCAGTCCCTAGACTGGGGTTTACTTATCTTTAACAAGAAACCTAACTTTAACCTGCCTTTTCCCAAGGACTATTTCCTAAGAATGGGCTACAGAAACCCTTACTCCAGACAAAATTAGAAATATGACCTTCCTACCCAGAGTCTAGCCTCTGGTTGGCCTCTGGTTGACCAAGTTCCAGGGACTTCCTTGCCCCATAGGCCCCTTTCATTTTAAATCAGCGTTAATTGCTTAATTGTTTTATGGGTTCTTCAGCATCTTCTTCCTTTTGGAGCCAGACAAAATGAAGTCTAGACATACAGAGAGAACAGATGAGGGGTCTTTATGGTCTATCCCAGTGTTCATAATATTGAAGCGGAGTCAGGATCACCTGGGAGGCTTGTTAAACCACCAACTGCTGGGTCCCATTCAGTCCGCAGGTCCAAGTCAGGAATTCTTATGTCCGGCTGATACATTACCCCTTTAGAAGTTCATAAAACACCCAAACCTGAGCTCCACCCTTGGAGGTGGCCCCCAGGCTCTGTGGGGAGGCCCAGGAACCCATTATTAAACCCTCAAGGCACATTCTGACACTGGAGGCCTCTGGTCTAGGTCTCTTTGAGCCTCTGGTCTGAGTTTCTGTGATGGGTCTCTGCGAGTGGGAATGTGACCTAGGGGTCTCCCCAAATCACCTGGGTGTGAGCTCCTTCCCTGTGATATGTCTTCCCGCCACCCTTACCAACCCCTGGCAGAAGGAAACTTGGGACTCACTTGGAGAATTGTTCCGATGAACGTAGGGGCTGGGGTAGGGCGAGGACCGGTGGCTCCTCAGGGCCGGGTACCTGTCACAGCCGTGTGTGGAGGGGAGGGAGAGGGCACCTCCAAACTGAGGGTGGGGGTTGGCAGGTGGACACAGGGAGCTGGTTCCAGGAATGAGCCACCCCCCTGCTGTGAGAGATGAATGCTGAGTAACTGACAACCACATTAGCTCAATTATTACAAAGAGGGGAGCAGAAACCAGTGAAGCAGGTCTTGTCCTCAGGAGTCACAGAGGAAGCAAGAGCTGTCATGTCCAATGTGTAGTACAGTCTGCACCACAAGGTACCGCAAGGTACAAGGCACAGCCCCACACTTAATGCCGCAGCATAACCAAGGCTTCCAACCCTGCAGGGCACTTGGGAGATGATTTCCTATTCCCCAAGGCAGTCAGCTTCCCTCTGCTGAGTATGAATATGTAAAAACAGGCTGAACAGGAATACAATGTAAGAACCAAGGCAGCAGCCAGCCAGGTGAGGGACACAGGGTGTCCCTGTCTCACCCCTCCCCCTCCTCCTCCTTATCCTCCTCCTCCCTTCCACACTGAGACTTCTGGAGCTGCTGTCCTGGGGTAGACCCACTTCCTGCTTCCTCCCTGGTTTAGGCTCCTCAGTCTCCAAACAAGGGTGTCGAAAAGCCCTTCCAAGACTGTCCTGCCCTCCTCTAAAACTATAATTTCTTCTCTACTCTTTGCTAATGATTTTTTAATTCAGACAAAGTAACTCTTAGGGAGGGGGAGACTACCTGGCTCCAATTTCCAAACTGCAAACCCTTCTTCAGACAACCCTGAGCCAAGGGAAGGGTGCAGATGTGTCCACAGTGCCGCCTGTCCCTGGCCAGGGCTAGGGGTCATACTCTACTCTTAAGTGGCCACCCTTGAGTCTGTTAGGAGAGCTGTTTGTTACACTAGACTGAAAGGCAATTCAGAATAGGAAATGATGGTTCCGGGAGTGTGTCAGGCTGGCCATCAGCCTCCTGGAGTGACTAGTGAGCACTAATGTCTAAATTGCTGAGTGTCTCCAAGTTGTCTCCAAGTTATCTCCAAATTTCCTCGAATGGAGGATGGATTAGCATCAGACAGGGTAGTTTCTCCCAATAGAAGCTGCTGGCTAGACCTGCATTAGGCGATCTGACTCACAAAACTCCCAGAGGGAGAGCTCAGCTTCAAGAACTCTCCTCACCCCACAAGCCACTGCTTCTACCAGTTGAGACATTCCCAGAGCCAAGGTGGGTGGAGGAAAAGTTCTGTCCCTAAGCATCACCCAAAGGTCTTCAACCATGGACACAAGTAGAAACCATCTCAAAGGGGCTGGAATGGGCTGGATTATCCTCCTGCATAGTGTAGGGGAGCCTCAACACTCAGCAAAGTCTCCAGGATCCATCCCAGGCACCGAGCAAAGCCAAAGGGCCTGGGCAGGGAGCAGACACAGGAGAGCAGACAAAGCGTCATTAAGCAGAGCTAGGTGGGCCACCCAATGCCACCAGCCTCAGAGTGCTGCCAGTCGCACTGTGCCACCAGCCTCACAGAGCACCCTCACAGACAGGAAACCCAGCTCCCCAGCCACACCCAGAACCCCGCTGCCTGCTCCAGCTCTCCTGGACAGGGCGTGGAGGGTGCAGTGTGCTACAAACCGTACATTGGGAGTACCCGGGCTGCTGGCCATCACCTGCTTCTTCCATCATGTCTTTGTGATCGCTTCTGTCAAAAAAGTGCATCCGATTGTCAAAAGGGAGACAATTCAGAAAACAGGGCATAAAGCAGTATTTCATCTTTCTGCACACTTTTTTGCCCTAGGGTATGTAGAGTTAGAATCCTCACCTTTCCTTTGCATCAAGGAATGCTTTTGCAAATGGGTTGTATTTGATTTTAAGAGCTGTGATCTGAAAAACAAAAAATTGCAATTATTAGTCTATAGCTTATTAGCCAGGGAAATGTAATTTGGCACCTAAAAATTGAGAAACACCAGTACCACCTTTAGATATTCCAATATATAATTGGACTGCTTTCCAGATAGAGTTTGTGGGTCTGAACCCACTGAGTAATTGTCAAGACTAGCACATTTATGAAAAGTTTTAAATTCCAATGTTCTGAGAGGGATTTACAATTTCTTAATTATTGCAGCAATCATAGCCTGACAATCACAATGAAGTTAGCCTACCACTGACAGTATTCCAATCTGTATAAGTCAAAGACAACTGAAAATGTAACCTGGGTGTGCTCAGGAAAGGGTGATCTGGGAGTTCTAGGTTGTGGTCAGCACTGACAACCAACTGATCACACATTTCCTGTTCAGGGTCGGAGCTACAGTCCTGCAGGCAGGAACTCAATGGTCATGTCACCCAGGATTTCTGGACAGAGCTGGCCAATCGTGGAATCACAAGTACAAGCACAACCACCCACAGGGACAGGACAGTAAGAAACTGGAGCCCGTGGGAATGGAAGCAGCCTGAGGTTGCAGGCAAAGGCCCCGATGGCTTGGCCATAGACTTGCAGGCACCTCACGGGTATCTTACACTGAGTCTTCCTTCACGCTGGGGCCCATAGGGAAGATTCCAAGAGAAGGATCTGCCCCTTTCACCAAGTCTTGTTCTTGAGGAAAACCTCCTGGTGCTTAACCTCAACGCCTGGTGCGTTCATTTTGAGCATTTAGTAGGAGAGTCTAGCTTTACACACTTTCAGAGAATGAAAGTTTAAACTCTTTCCTCCTTGCTTCCCCTTCATACTATGGTGAATTATTTCAAAGGGCACCATGTCCCCATTTCCCAGGATCCCCCCAACCCCCTACTCCAGCAACAGGAAAACACCCCTT